AATATAAGGTGTCCTCTGGTCCCGCTACAGATGTACAGTACAATATTAGGTGACCACTAGTCCCCGTACAATATAAAGTGACATCTGGTCCTTCTGCTGATGTACAATATACGATGACTTCTGGTTTTACTACTGATGTACAATATAAGGTGACCTCTGGTCAATAGTCCCCGTACTAATGTAAAATATCGGGTGACCTCTGGTCCCCGTATTGATGTACAATATAAGGTGTCCACTGGTTTCCCTACTGATGTATAAAATAAGGTGTCCTCCCCCCTCCTCTTGATCCACAATATAAGGTGTCCTCTGGTCCCTCTACTTATGTACAGTACAATATTAGGTTACCTGTAGTCCCCCTACTGATGTACATTATAGGGTGACCTCTGGTCCCCCAAATGATGTACGATATAAGGTATCCCCAGGTCCCCCTATTATGTGCAATAAAAGATTAACCTTTGGACCCCTATTGATTTAAAATGTAAGGTGACCTATGATCCCTCTGATGATGTACAATATAAGGTGACAACTGGTATCCCTAATGATGTTAAATATAAGGTGGCCTCTGGTCCCCCTACTGATGTACAATGTAAGGTGATCTTTGGTCCCCCTATTGATGTAAAATATTAGGTTACCGTTGGTCACCCTTTATTATTTTCACGTTTCTGCTAATATATATATTAGAAAGTTGATCTTTATAAAGTTATAAATATGATTATTTTGGAGTAAGACAAAGAAAATCGTCTATCATATAAAATTCAATTAATATATAAGGTGACCTGAGGTCTCCGTATTGATTATATCGATGAATTTACTTGTGTGACTTTAATGCCTGGAGAGTTCCTAGAATGTTTTATTACTACGCAAAATGACGAACTATTTGCGGGGGACCCCAGGTCCTAGTTCAGCGTACGTTTTATCCTTCTGCAAAACTGACAGGAAGCATAATAATAAGTAATCACGACATTGATAAGGCACTGTTGTGTTATTACATTATGCAGTTGCACCACTGTTATATTATCCTTTAGTTGATACTCGTTGTTGATTTAGTGACCTATGAGTCCCTTTCCAGATTCCATTGTACATGTAGGTCTGTGAACTTATACTGCTTGGAATATTGCAATTTCTCTCTTATTTATCAGCTGTTCGAGGTGTGTGGACAATGTTTACTGGTGTGACTGGTGTATCACGGAGAACAAGTGTCAGTACAACACAGAGCAGTGTTCTGGGGAGAAAGTCAGCAGTCGAAGTGTACGTATTGTTTATTGTCTGTAAAGTTAGATTACAGGGGGCGTATGAAAACAGTAAAAACATGTATGTAGAAGTAGTCCTGATACATTTGGATTTGAAAATTGTTTTTTTGTTTCCCAAATATTACTTGTGGGACTAATAGTTAATGATATTTTAGTCTGTTTATAAACATGTGTACCCTATGTTTAAGCCCTTCTATGCAAGTACATAATGAGATACAAAGTTCACTTTGTAAATAAGATCATTCCATTAGTTTTGGACAGGCTCATGCCAGAGAATCAAATGAAAATTTTCTACGAAACCTATATATCTTAATATAATGGTCATAACTCATTGTGTTTAGCTTTAAATTTGAGCTGTTTATTTTATAAAAAGGTTTGTTTTAGAATTATACAATGTATGACACCATTTTCAGGACATTTATGTACAAAACAACACAGAGTATATTGTAAGTTATATTGCTATATATAGTACAGCATATAGATCTGCCTTTATCAAACTAACGAACTGTATCTGTTTCTATAATTAGCCATCGTCTTATTTTTCCATTTCATATAACTTTTCACCATTGAGAACGCCAGCATCACTATTAAAATTCAACATGTAAACTCCCAAAGGTTATGCATAATACTTATGAATTCCTTAGATTATCATTGTTATCTGCAATTATGAAGAAGATACGTTTATGTTATATAGCTATCAATCTTCTTTTTGCAATAGAGCCTTAATTTTGTATTGTCTGCACTTCTACATGTGACAGTCGCCTTCCGTTTGACAACGCATTTATTTCTATATAGGCAGCTATAGATGCTGAAGTTTCAACAGAATGATTTTTTTTCTTCTTATTTTTTCTATTTCAATTACTATAACATGTAGAATGTGCACATATTAAAAACTCTTAAAATCATGTTATATGTATGCTTCTTATTAATAAGATAACTGATCAACTTGATTTCTTTTCTCCAATGCTTATACTGTTGCTTTCAACAAGTAGGGACAATGCAGTGAGATATACATACATTGTACATGTATTACGTGATGCAAAGAATTTCAAATTAACAGATACTGGGTCATTTTAAACAGTCTTTGCTATCGAGTGACCTATCAAATTCCTCTGATGTCTGTAATTTTAAATTTGAGACAATACTTTTGTGTTTGAAAATTCTGCTAGCTGTCTGTTGAACTTGAAAGGGTTTCCTTATAAAGCAGAATTCAAGTAGGATTGCAGGTTGTTTTGGTAGTTCTGATCTTTATAGGTTTGTGTATTTCATGATTTCTTTAGAAATGTTTTTAACAGTTTGTTTCTTCCATTTAGTGGAGATTCGCTACCACTAGATCATTTTTCTTCTTTGTGAATTTATTCTTTTGGTTTAGCTTAGCTAGTACAGAGGTTACCTACTATGACTTTTTCACTCACTGTTTCATAATTATCTGTTTGTACATTTACATTGCTTGTAAATAGAAATTACCGATTTCTTGTGTTTGAGTTATGTCTTGAAAGAGTTTGCTTTTTTAACTTCGAACTAACTAGGGCATTTTATTATATACCTGTTTTACAATGCACTCTACTTGATTCGCATCTGATCATGCACCTGACTACTTCTCTGTGGTACATTATTATTATGATACACTTCGTATATGTTGGTTAACTTTTGCTGACTACCAAGACACTTGGTGCCGAGCGAAGCTGTGATATTCATATATGATGATAAATTTGTTTATATCTCTATAATATTGTACGCCTCATCACTTCTCTGTGTGATAAACATGTTTGATCATTCATTTTCCTAATATCTATGAAATATATGTATGATATACACGTATGATGATACATTTGCTTTATACACATACGTATCATTAATATTGTGCCATAGCCTATATTTTTGTCTATGATATTCATCTTTATTCACCTCCATACTTCTCTATGATAAACATTTTTTTATGATACACATCATCACTTATCTATGATATGTACGATGATACTTTTGATTATATCTATATGATCAATCACCCTCTGTATGCTTTCACATGTATGCTAATATTGTATGACATTATCAAAAATTTTAATTCCAACCATTTTTAAGACACTACAATTGGCTTGTTATCTTACTGGAAATAAAATAATGTCTTTAGTATGTCCTTGTACTTATACATGTATTTCCAAATTAAGAAGCCGAGAATTTATTAAGGTCGAGGTCATTACGACTAGTCAAGTTAAGAGGTCAATTTTTTGTCATATCCACAACTTTTATAAGATGGAAAGAACATTGGAAGCTCATGCTTGAAAGTGACTTCAACCCAAAGTAATTTAAGTGAGGTATTTTAAAAGTATGGAAAATTATATGCTTTGCCAAAACTTTGGAGGAACACAAAAAGATTTAAGCTCAATGTTTCATCGTAACCAGAGTTTTAGTATTAACCTTTCTTCAGGGTTATCTTGACAAGATCACTGGTTTAAAGTGTAAAGTTTTTGTCCACAATGTAACTTTGTTGTGGAGTAAGGCAAGATCATAGATGAGGGTTGATTATGATTATAAAACATGCAGGGCTCTGTCCTTTAGACAAGCTTAGGTCACAATCCGGTAAAGGTCAAGGTCACATGATTGAGATGCTATGGCACATTTTAGTGCTAGGATTTTTGAGAGTAAAATAATACTTTTATACCAGAGACTAATATTTATTAATGACAAAATGTGGTGTTACAACTTCAGCCAATTTAAGGAAATAAAGGCAACACTTGTTTAAATGATTTTTTGTAGAAAATATGGCAATTGTTTTTTTAAGCTTTTTTTCAACTATATATATGCAGAATTTTTTAATGTTATCCAACAGAAGGTAGCAGCCTTTTAAGAAGTCTTTTTATATGCTGTTGTTATAAAATGTTTGAAATAAAAAGTTTAGACATTTAATGAAAAAAATCGCAATGTTCTGATAGTTTCTTTGTTGATGTCTTGCAGGGTAATGAAGGCAACAGAGGAAGGCAATTTTGTCCCATGGTGGAAAAAATTCAGACGGGCCCTCTGTTTATACCACAGGATCAATCGAAAACAATCATCATCCAAGGAAGAAATTTCCCTGAACCAGTATGTAGTTAAGTCATTTGTACACAAGAAATGGTAGATAATAGTGTTTTTGTATATCTTAACAATAATACTCAGTAAAACTACATGATACAATCACATTCACACAGTATAAACCCTTTAGATGTATTAGATAAAGCAGATTTAACACAAAAACATGCCTTCTGACATTCACTCAACACTAAGAGTAGCGGGTCTTCTTGAACAATCCTTCCTTACTGCATTCAGCATCAATAGATTTATAATTAATTTTTTGACAGGATGAATACAAAGGAAAAATCTACCTACCATCATCTCAGACTCTGAATGTGCCTGGAATAAGGATATCAGCCACACTATTAGCATTTAATATTGAAAAGGAATCTATAGTCAGTATTAATACAGAGAAAGGCTTTAATTTTTATTCAACAAAGAAGTACAGTAGTTGTTATTGCAACATGCCAAGAACAATGTTGTTCATAAATTATATCAATTATCCACAAAATTTGTATAAGAGAAAGAATGTAATTAAATACCAAATGATTCAATTAATGTAATTAAATACCAAATAATTCAACTGCAGAATTGTTTTTTTGTTGGTTTCTCAGCATTTTTCTATAGAAAATTTGGAATCATTTCTCACATTAAAATATGTTAAAAGTTACTTCTATGCAACTCAAAATTTTCAGATCAATGTAGCTTTACCGAATGGAAGGTTTGGTACAATTATGATTGTTTTGTGGACCAATCAAAATTTTGTCATTGAAAATGATGGACTTGAAGGTAGGTGTAAGAGAACGTGCTATCAGTAACCCTATCTACTGAATTATAATGTAGAAGAAAAGTAAAGCCAGAAAGTTAGGTTAATAGCTAAGCAAGAGTCTTATAAATGTACAAATATATGGATGAACTAATTTGTTTTTACCTCACATAAGCTTTTCTGATCACCTGTCGTCAGTCCTCCATCCAGCCATCTTTTCTCACTTTCAACTTTTTTGCAAGAACCACTGGGCCAATTTTAACCAAAATTGGTACAAAGCTTCCCTTGAGAGACAAGGAGTTTAATTTTTAGAAAAAGGACCAATCCCCCTTAAAATCTTTAAGGGGAGGTAATCAAGAAAAGACAACAAATAGGGTGGGGTCAAAATAATATCTCAGTAACAACTAGACCAGAAAAGCTGAAACATATGTCGAAGCTTCCTGAGCTACTGTGGATTCTAAATTTTTTATGTTGTGGTTAAAGTGGGGCCACAATAGGCAATCAAAGTTTTACAAGGGGGAAACTTTTGAAAAAAAACAACAGTGCCAAAGTTACACAGGTGAGCATTGTGGTCCATGGGCCTCTTGTTTTAGTTTACAACTTGTAAGTCATTTGCTTTGTTTTAGTGACTCTGTACAGCTGTAGGGGGCAGGCCAGTGGTGACTGTAGCTTCTGTAAGAACCTGGAAGAAACTTATCCAGCCATGAACTGTAAATGGTGTGCAGGACAGTGTGTCTATAGCCTGCAAAGCTGCACTCAGTCATTGTGTCCAGGACCCAATGTCACCAGTGTAAGTGTGGGTAGTATAAAATATCCCAATGTCACAAGTGTGGTGACATAGTAAAAATGACCCAAGGTCACAAGTGTACCTGTGGCAACATGCAAAGTAAAATGACCCAATGTCACCAGTGTAAGTTTGGCAACATGTAGTGTAAAATGACCCAATGTCACCAGTGTAAGTGTGGCAACATGTAGTGTAAAATGACTCAATGTCACCAGTGTAAGTTTGGCAACATGTAGTGTAAAATGACTCAATGTCACCAGTGTAAGTGTGGAAATATGTAGTGTAATGACCTATTGTCACAAGTGTAAGTGTGGAAACAAATAGTGAAAAATGACCCAATGTCACCAGTGCATGTGTGGTAATATGTAGTGTTATATGACCTATTGTCATTTGTGTAAGTTAGCTAACAAATAGTGTTAAATGACCCAATGTCACCAGTGTAAGTGTTGCAACATGAAGTGTAAAATTACCTATTGTCACCAGTGTAAGTGTGGTAACAAATAGTGTAAAATGATCCAATGTTACCAATGTAAGTGTAGTAACATGTAGTGTAAAATGACCAATTGTCACAGGTTTAAATGTGGTAACATGTAATGTAAAATGACCCAATGTCACCAGTTTGGCAACATGCAGGGAGGTGGTATTTTATGTGGCTCTAAGCTATTTGAGTAAGCAGTGTAAAGAACTTTATTCGGTAATAACCAATATTTGCCCCCAAATCAAACTTTGATGGAGATATATCTCATTAAGTTATTAAACAGGGGTGTATATGCTGACTTCAAAGCACTGAATATTTTCATAAGTAATGACGCCATATGTACGTAATGACGTCACAAACATGACGTAAATTTCATTTTTTTTTTATTTTACAGAAAAGTGTACATATGTCGTCGATATTTTGAGTAAAAGTCTCCGAGCGCATGTGTGTTCAGGATCAATGTTTTGATATAATGTGTAGAATGAGAATATCAATGAAATATGTCAATATTGTTCCAGAAAAACTCTATAAATTTTCAAGCTAAAATTGTTGAAAGTTTTTTCCATTTTGTCCTTTTTCCTTAAAAAGGATATAAAATCGGTCTAGTTTGTGACGTCATAAAAACAAAAATTGTGAATACACTGCTTTTGACACAATAATATTTTTTGTTAATTTTTATTTCTCATACAATTCATTGAATTCAGCACATTTCAGGAAGTTTTCAAAATATGACTTTTGTGGGGGCAAATATATACAATATACCACATATAGTTCTTTCCCCAACATGTAACTAACCAATTTTACAGTACTTTATGTGTATGAAGTGCCTAAGCATTATCCTTGACCTTTTGATTTTTTGGTTAAGTTATATTCCATATCCCCTACCCTTCTTTCCTGGAACTAACATGGATTTACTAGGATTCCAATTTAAAATTTTCTTATTCTAGCAAGAAGCACAACTGTAGTTTTATTATTATTATTATATATTTTTTTTACAACTAACAGATGAATTGTATTATTGATTCCAGGGGAAAAGCCTAATTAATCAATACCAAACTAATTTCACAATTTAAGAGTAAGAGAAGAGACTGTCTCAGAACTTTTTTTCATTATTTAAGATTCTGTATGTTCAATTTCATGATAACTTGTTAGTATTGTAGAATCGGATATTCATTAAAATTAGATTGTTTAATTTATGTGGTTTTTTTTATTTTACAGTTGACACCCAATACAGGTCATTTCTTGGGAGGTACTGTTGTCACAATCACAGGGTTCAATCTCGGAATTAAATTTGCTGACATTGAGAACAATATCACCATAGCAGGCATTGCTTGTAACACGACAGCAAGAAGGGATGATTATCTAGCATCAAAAAGGTTTGTCGACATTTGATTTGGAGTTATTTAGAATTGTTGATCTTAAGAATCGGGAGTGTTTAAAGACAATGATTATTCCTAACCTTAATAAAAATCTGTGAATAAATTAATACATATTATTTCAACAAGTTCGTTGATTAGTACATGTATTTTAGATATTAACTATTTCTACTGTATATTTCTTGTATTAATGATAATCCTACATGTACGTATAGTAAATTTAATTCAGTTTTTTTTAAATGTTATACCTATCTATGTGGTGATTTGTTAATTACCTTATCAGAATCCGCTGTGTGACGGGGGGTAGGAGTGGAGGGGGAAGTGGTCCTATCAATATACTGGGGGTCACGCTAAACAAATGGATCTATTCGTATAAGGTAAACAATTAACCACAGCATTTATGGATTATAAAAAAAAATCAATTCCTTGATGACTTTTGAGTTTTATGCTCATTTGTGAATTTTGAACAGACTCCAATGATAACTGGATTTCAACCTAAATTTGCGGCGCAGTCTGGTGGCAGAATTGTGCATCTAAGGGGAGGTAACCTCAACATTGGGAACGGCCCTAAAGTTACCATTAACAATGACACCTGCCTAGTTACAAGGCAAGCGTTCAATTTTGCTCTTTAAATTTAGTTAATTATATTGACTATTTAGTTATACTGCTCAATAACTAGAAGAGCTTAGATTACGATCCATCTGTCTGTTTTTCAGCAATTCATCAAAACACTACTACTTCTTCCAAATTTTGAACTAATTTCAATAAAATTTGGCATGAAATTAACAACACTATAGGTAAAGAGTAAAGAATATGAAAAAAAGAAAACCTATGGAAAACTTTGATTTGGTTTTATTTCTAGATAATAAAAACTCTGCACAATTTTGAAAAATAGTATCAGGTAAAGTTTGGGCAAGTTCAAGGTTAAAAAATTCTGGCAGTAAAAAAAAGACTTTTTCTCTGTCTAGTTCATTTAAAATCTCTAATGGTAAAATATTGAAATTAATCCTTCTCACAAGAAATGTGTTTGTTTTGGCAAGTTCGAGGTCACTTGAAAAGAGTATAATCTGAGTTTTGTACATACCTTTGTTAGAAACATTGGATGCAGCACTCTTAAAAAATCTGAGGGGACGTATTCTTCTTTGAGCTCTCACACAGTACATGTACCTCTTGATTAAAATTTAAGACCTTTTTTGAGTACAAGTTCCTTACGAACAGTTCTAGTTAAGATTAGCAGTGCATTTAACTTTTTTTTTTGTTTTTACAGTAAAAACATGTCTGTCATTTCCTGCGTTGTCCCAGCTGGCAGTACTGGTGTTGCTAATGTCTCGGTCAACATTGATAGTAACCCTGTGGATACCACCACCAGTAATTTCTCCTATGTGGAGGACCCCACTGTACAGAATATTTATCCAGTTCATCTCTCCTCCTTTGAAAGGTAAGAGGGGTTAATTGGAGAAATCAGATTTGTCAGTGATCTAGCAGTAACTGATGTTACTTGTGTGCACATGCAGGGAATATGTATTTGTTAATGAGAACAAGTCCGAAAAATAAGTTTTATATACTAAATGTGATTATGACTGTCTACAATACAGCAATGGATGATTCAAGTTTAAACAGACAGATTCTGAGAGAAGCAATGACATTCAAATTTACTATTATTCAAAATTATATAAGTAGTATAAGGGGTCTAGATGGCGAGGTCAACTGAGTGCACTTTTTATGCAAATGAGGTCAAATATTCTGGATTCTGATTGGTTGAGGGGATAGGTGGGTCAACTGAGTGCAGTCCTAACCCTAACCCCTCTAACCCTAACTAACCTAACCCTAACCCCCTAGCCCTAACTAACCCCTAACTAACCCTAACCCTAACCCTAACCCCCTAACCCCCCTAGCCCTAACTAACCCTAACCCCCTAGCCCTAACTAACCCTAACTAACCCTAACCCCCTAGCCCTAACTAACCCTAACTAACCCTAACCCTAGCCCCTGACCCTAACCCTAATCCCTTTAACCCTAGCCCCCCTTACCCTAACCCCCTAGCCCTAACTAACCCTAACCCTTATCCCTATCCCTAACCCCTAACCCTAACCCCTAACCCTAGGGGGGCTAGGTGGGTCAGTATATAACCCCTAAATATGGTGTTTACACTATGTTTACATTGGTACGTTGGTACTACGTTTTGTTTATGCTAACTGCACAGGTAAATGCGCCGTGTGCAAAAAAAATTCAAGAATGTCATTATGACGTCACGCTTCACAGTCTAAACAGCCCTATAACCGGTTTGAACTGGTTTTATTGAAAACAAGAACACAGATTTTTGATTTTTTCAATTTTTATTCACAATGAAAAATACAAAAAAAAAAAAAATGATTTTAATTTCCACTGTATCGGCATAAGGGACATTTCTGGTAGGAAGTCTCAAAGAGTTTCTTCACACATGCCTCACAACACGGATATTGCCTGCATTGTCTGCATTTCCATTTTCCTTGAGTCTTTTCCTGGTAGCACATCATACATTCTTTCAACGGTCTGTTCCTAGTCATTTTCATCCATCGGGGAGGCGGTATGTTCTCAATTCCCTTCTTCCAGATGAAATATTTCAGGCACCAATTACAGCCACAAGTCTCCATGGAAGGCTCATCATCGTGAAACCAGTGTGGTAATGGCATTTCACAATGCTCGCAAATCGGATAGACTTTCCAACGCCATCCGGGACACGGGTTATACACTGTGAATGTTTTATAATTCATCATCTTCTGATCACAGTAATGACAAACATATTTTTCTACCTCGTGCAAATAGATTGATCTCCACACAAAAATCATGATTGCTAAATAATAAGCTCAGGGTACTACCAGTTTTGTTTTATATACTATAGGAATATTTTAGGGGCCGTGTGCAAATATACGTTTTACCTACGTTTTCTTATATATATATACCTGTTTGCATCACCTATAAAGTGCCGTGTGCAAAAAAAATTAGGGTCGTGTGCAAAAGAAATGTACCTTTTATCTGTGTTTTCTTATATACCTGTTTGCATCATCTGTAAAGTGCCGTGTGCAAAAAGTAAGATAAACTTACCTATGCATTGTGACGTCATTCACTGTATAAATACAATGTGATTATGACGTCACACTTTTTCATTTACAGTCTAGACAGCCTAGTCTAGCCAACCTTACCGGTTTGAACTGATTTTTTTTTTACTGAAAGACAATAACAAATAACACACAATACAAAAAACATGTGTGTGTTATGTCTGTCAAGTTATAACACCAGGTCACTTTTTTAAAAAAAAACTTAGAATTTCTTTTTAAATTTTTTAAACTTTTTCTTTTAAAAAACTTATAATTTGTTTTTAACTTTTTAAAATAACTTTAAATTTTTTTTTCTTATTAATTTTTTTTTGGTAAACTCCCCTTATAGTTTTTAAGAAATAAAATAAAAAAAAAAACATGTAATACTACATCAGTGTTATGTTATTGTATGACTTCATCTTTTATACAGTCGGGTTCGGGGTTTCGGGCGGCCATGGCGAATTTCGGTAGGATTTTACCCCAGTGAAAAAGGCTTGTAATCCACAGTGTAGGTCGTTTAAAGTTGTTTCACATTGTTTATGATTGTGATTATGTTATCGCTCACCCATATGTTTAATGTCAGCTATGCTAAATAACCCATTTCTGTGTAATTTGAGAGAATGTTTTGACATGTGGTTAAAGTATGGCGTGCTATTCATGTTATCATTTAAAGTCGATCCTAAATAAATCTGTCTTAAAAAAAATACATTTTACGAATGACATTTAATATGATTGATTAGAGTATAGGTATCCATATATAAGAGATATTATTTTGCATTACATTTAAACATGTTTTTCTGTCCTGTTTGTCTGTCAATTGTTGCTTTACTTCCTTTGTAAAATGAGGTTAAATTGAGTATCATTGAATATTGTATGCTTTTTTTCAGGATCAGCTAAGATGTTGTTTCACTGGATTATTTAATTGGGCATATAATTGGATAATTCTGGTAAGTTTGTCTTTGTTTTGTTTACATTTCCTATGAAGGTCATCTTTGCATTTAATCATAATTATGTAAAGTTCTGTTTTGAATGTAAATGTACTGTATTTATCCTCATTTCATGTGATTTACAGTTGTATAACCTGCATGTAACTCAGAGTGCATTTAATATTTCTATGATGGATCATTCTATGATTGAATTTAAATCAGAAAAATATTCACTAAATTTTGATAAAATACATGGTATCTTTTTCATTTCTGTCCCTTTTGTCTGTAAATTATTGCTTTACTTACATTGTAAAATGAGGTTAATTGTGTATCACTGAATTGTATGATTTTTTTCAGGGTCAGCTGAGATGTTATTTCACTGGATTATTTAATGGATAGACTTATTGGGCATATAGTTTGATATCTCTGGTAAGTTTGTCTTGTTTTTTAGATTGTTTACATTTCCTATGAAGGTCATCTTTGCATTTAAGCATGATTATATGGTTAATTCAATTACTGTGTAATACTTATGTGATCTGTTGTCTCTAACTTACATTCATATAAGCACACCCTTATTTAACCTTAATATATATCAAGGGATCTTCAGAATATTAATAAGTCCTTTTGTATAAATTATGATATAATTTCATAATTCATTATGTATGTTACCCATGGCCATGGAATTCAGACTTACTAAATGGTGATCAAAGAGATATTGATTAGGAATCTAATAAGAGAAAAGGAGAAATTTACAAAAGATTAATCCTAAGTTATTTACTTTTTGTTTTGATTCTAAATATGTGTGATATATGGTATACATATATTTTTATTTTCACTTTTGTTTCTTGGTAATGAGCTTTTCAGTAATTGTGCTTTTTTTTATTATCTAAAGATAACATGATGCATTTTTCTCCTCTGGAGTTAATGTTAAA